TTTCAATCGATACGTATCCAATCTTGTCAGCGGACGTCCTAATCTACTACTCTCCAGCGATTTCAATCGATACGTATCCAATCTTGTCAGCGCAATCTCCTACTCTACTACTATCCTAATATCCTATCGCCTACTATCCTAATCTCCCGAGTCGCGAACTATGAACGCGGCCTTAGAGGCATTGAGGTGGAGCCTCTTAATCGCTTTGGTGCGCGGCCAAGTTACGACGTCATCGTGACGCGCCACGACTAGGTGCTGGTCATTTTTTTTTTCGCGTGGGTGGCGAAGCCACCGCAGGACCAAGAAGACGGAAAAATATAGATCCGAAACAATGAGCACTCGTCTGGGACCAAGTTCCCCAAATTATAATACTAGTAGGACACCTTTAGTAGTGACCTAATGCCTTTATTAAAGTACACGCTGTTAGCAATACATAAGAACATATCAAACTCGCAACGGCGTTAATTTCAAACAAATACGAGCTACTGGTCGTAAATACCAAATCGAATGAAAAATCGTTACAAAGTTATCGTATAATACAAGTTTTCAAATGATAAACAACGTTCGACGAGTATAAAAGGAAGATTCACTGCAATGGCAGACTTAGCCGCGAACGAGCCCTGTACGATTTAAAGCTCTTCTTGCTACAAAAGAAGAATATACACTTATAAACCTTTCAAAATACGAACATATGTTTAAAACAGGCCTGTGAGACGATCAAATTCAAAACTCGCCTTTAAAATGATCGAAATATCAAAATAGGAACCTCGATATACTCTGTCGAATGATTCAATGTTAGAAGGGCTGCTACGCAGTCAGATCACCACCGCGCGACAGAAGTATAGCAAGGGCCCGAGCGCTATTCAGAGTGGCTGCGTAGCAGCCCACTTATCACTACCAAGTCGTTATGGCCATCGCTCTGAATAGCGCTCAAAGGATAATAAAACGAGCCAAATCAAGTTTACGATCTGTAGCAGCGTCATACGATTCAATGTTGACGGATACGGGGTGCTATGCAACTGCGGAACATCCCCTCTCTGTCACCATTTCTTCGCTTTTGCGGCAGACTATAAACACGAGTTCCTTAGACCTAGTATAAAATGAAATCCATGATAAATAGTGATCCTTTAACGTTTTCGGCTATCGAATGACGCAGTGATCTCTTCCACGCTCTTTCCTTTGGTCTCTGGTACGAATCGCCATGTGAAGATAATGAAGAACGTGAGGAAAGCAGTGAACACAAGGAACGAGTACTGAGCGAGAGCATTCTGAAAGAAAGCATCTTCTAGTCCAAAATTTCCAGGGAAAAAATAACAAATTGTTAAGCTTACGTTTAGGGAAAGGAATGTGAGTCCAACTATCAAGTTAGCCGTCCAGTTAACCATTACAGCAATCGAATTGGCATTACCTCGGGCACTCGATGCGAAAATCTCAGACACGAAGAACCACGGAATTGAGCCTGAATGTGGGTAAGTATCGATTTAGAAGGGTTTGCTTGAGCGTCGATCAATACTTTCATTTCGTTCACAGAAGTTCCTCACATAATGACCTAACACACTAAGTTACCGAAAGAATCGAAATCAGTCAATTTGTGTCATTTCAAAGAGGCAAAGTGACGGAACACACAGCAGGTGTGCGTGCGGCCGCGAGGCGGATGCGCTATTGATCAGCATTTTATCCTAGAAGCGTACAGCATGCTTCCCATAGGCTATTTTTCTGTGATTTTTACCCGACTTGGAGATCAATCTCTTACTACATAGCACCCCCAAATTCCAGAGCTATGACGCCAACCGCGTCGCGTTAAGGCCGATGTCAGACTTTGCGAATCGCGCGATTCGCTAGCGTCTGCGGTCGCGTCGCGGCCAGTGAATCACTCAATTGGCTGGTACCGCAACGCGACCGCGGACGCTAGCGAATCGCGCGATTCGCAAAGTCTGACATCGGCCTAGCGCACACGACACACACGCCTATGAAGGCCTCATGTTTTTTTTCGCTTACTGGCACAAATTTCAAGCATATTTCCAAAGAAAATGATTTTCAAAAAAAAAACAAACTGTCGAGTTGTCACTCACCTGGTCCAGTAGCGAATGAGATGACGAACAGCAGCACAAACACGATAGCGCCATAACTGGCCCATTGGTGACCGTTAGCGCTCAATGATAGGGCAACTACCAGTAGAATCGTCGAGATCCACATACCGCTCATACCCATGAGCATCAATGAACGACGACCGAATTTCGGGTGATCGACCTGAAACTCGGAAAAATGAGAAAAAAAAAGAAAATAAGCCTAT